GCGGTGCCGGGCGAAGCCGTGCCCAGTTTGTGCGTAGGCGCTTCCCCGCGCCCCGGCGGCCCCGCCTCCCTCCGGACACCCGGGAAAGTCGAACTAATTAGAAACAGCGGAAGGCGGGACATCGGAGACCCGCCCAGCACGCTGCCCAATGGAACGGAGCAAGGCAAATGAAGTGGCCAATCAGCAACTGAGCAGCGGAGGGCTCGCTCGGCGCGAAGTTCAGACGCAGCCCGCGCGCCGAAGCCGCGCCCCTCCTCGCCCGGCTTCCTGGCTGTCAAACACCAGCCCCAGCCCGGCTCAGGCCAGTGACCGAGACCAGCGGCCGCCGCACAGCTGGCACCACCAGGAAGACCACCCTTAAGACTGCACCGCGCGGGTAGAGCTGAAGCTGGGCTGGGGCCGGGAGGGACAGGGATGGTTTCTGCCTTGGAGGATTCGGGATCGCCTTCTTCTCTATTCCCCACGGAGAGACCGGGAAGCAGGGGTTTCGATCTGTTTTGGTGGAGTACTTAGCGACCCGTTTGCACTGTCTTTGGAAGACTGACAGTGGATTTAGTTTTTTCAGGGATTCGAACTATGACTGAGGGCTTGGTCAGAAGAGCAGGGCACAGATAGGCAGGAAGGGTTCTCTACTCGGATAAGCAAGTCAGACAGGAAGGAGTTTCTCTTCTTCAAATTACAGAGCAGATACATTCGTATAGCAGGACCCCCCACACTCTCCTCACACGCCTACAACTTGCATTTCCCCAGAGGTTGCCTAATGTATTGTTGTCTTGCACAGATTGGAGACTGGTGGAATATTTTGCAGCCTAAGGATCCGGCTCAACTGCGGTGCCAAGAATGCCTTCCTGTTCCCGCATTCCACTGTGACCTTCCTGGAATTTTTCAGTTGCAAATCTGAACAGCCTATTTTGCATTGTGTGCCTAGGCTGTGGCTGGAAGTTTAAACTACACAGCTCAAGTTCGCATCAGACTGGGAAGTGAACTCATGCCAGTGGTTCATGGCCCAGCAGAGGAAAAGGTGGTGCTGAGGGGCCACCGCCCATGCTGCCCTGCTTCCAGCTGCTGCGCATAGGCGGCGGCAGGGGCGGCGACCTCTACACCTTCCACCCACCCACCGGGGCTGGCTGCACCTATCGCTTGGGCTGCAGGGCTGACCTGTGCGATGTGGCCCTGCGGCCCCAGCAGGAACCCGGCCTCATCTCTGGGATCCATGCCGAGCTACATGCGGAGCCCCGGGGCGATGACTGGAGGGTCAGCCTGGAGGACCACAGCAGCCAAGGTGAGCAGTGGGCAGAGTAGCTTAGTCTCCGGGCTGCCAAGGTCCAGGTTAGAGTGATGAAGGGGCTCCGCAGGGAACCTGCCAGCTGCCTCCAAGTTCCTCATCGGGTTGGATGGATGAGTCATGGTCCAGGCCTCCATCTTCCCGCAGAAGTGTGCAGTGGCAGCTCCCAGCGGGACTGACACTTGTTGGTACTGTGTAGCTCATGCAGGGGCTGGGCAGTAAGTAGATCCAGGTCCTGAGGTATCATTAGGGAAGTGTCAGTGTGGGTGTTCTGGGGGCAATTAGGCCTAAGCTCAGACTTGATTCAGTTTCCAGTGTTGCTAGGCATGTATGTTGAATTATGGGTTTGTTTTTTTTTAAGAGGTGTTTTTTTTTTTTTTTTTTTCCCCCTGTAGGGCATACACGCTCACAAGAGAGACAGAGAAAAAGCGAGAAATCACCACCCAGGGAGGATGGCCACACCACAATCCCTCCTCCTCCATTCTCCCCTCTGAATCTTGAGCACGTGCGCTTATACACACACACACACACACACACACACACAGATGCACCTTGTGCGAGTTTTAAGTTGCCAGATCAGGACTCAAACCGCAGTTGACTAAGTGGGTGTCCAGCAACGCAACCATTACACCATCTGCTGGTCCCAAATTATGTTTTAATAAGGCCTGGGTTCACATTGAAGTTCTACCACTGGCACCCGGTGAAACCTCGGGCCTGTCGTTTCATCTCTTTGGGTCTTAGTTTCTTCGTAGATGAAGTGTAAGGCTCTGTAGTCTGCTTCGGGAGTACCGTGAGCATCAGCCTACAGTAGCCAACACTTGTCCAGTGCTTGCTGTTATGAAAGTGCATCGAATGTAGGTCGCATTAATAGTCTCATTGCATAGTCAAGGAAAACGAGATACAAAGATGTTAAGGAATATATCCAGGGTTGGGACCAGCAGTTAGCGTAATGGCTACGTCTCTGGATTTCCATGTAGTAGAGTCGACCGTGGTTCGAGTCCCGGACCCAGTGGCTTAAACTCACTCCAGGCACGTGTGCGTGTGTGCCCAAGATCCCAAGAGGAAAATGGAGAAGGGATTGTAGCGTGGCTATCCCTCCAGGGGGTGATTTACTCGCTGTCTTTCTTGCGAGCGCACACGCCAGGTCACATCACTGGTAAGCAGCAGAGCCAGTTGGGCCCTGGGCATAACTGCCGCCTTGGAGCTGGGCAAGAGTGTGCACGCTCGGGAATTGGACCCCTGCAGGCTGAGGGAAGCCATTCCTTTGTGGGGGAGCACAAGATACGCTTGTTTCCAGCTCACTGGCTTAGTAGGCGGTGTCACCTGTGAGGGACGTAGCTGGCAGGTGTCTCGTTCTTCCCCTGTTCCCTGAATGCCCACAGGGCCAGACTTCTCTTCTCCTGACTGGTCCTTTCTGTTTTTGTTCTCTGCATTTGTCCGGTGCCTCACCACCAACAGGGACTTTGGTCAATAATATCCGACTCCCAAGGGGCCACAGGCTGGAGTTGAGTGATGGTGACCTCCTGACCTTTGGCCCTGAAGGGCCCCCAGGAACCAGTCCCTCGGAGTTCTACTTCATGTTCCAGCAAGTCCGGGTCAAACCTCAGGACTTTGCTGCCATTACCGTCCCCCGGTCTAAGGGAGAAGCTGGAGCCGGGGCTGGTTTCCGGCCCATGCTGCCCTCCCAAGGGGCCCCACAGCGGCCCCTCAGCACCCTCTCCCCCGCCCCCAAAGCGACACTGATCCTCAACTCCATCGGCAGCCTCAGCAAGCTCCGGCCCCAGCCCCTCACCTTCTCCAGGAGCGGGCGTGGGCCACAAAGTCCACCTGTCCCCACCCCACCCGGGGACGCGGGGACCACCCCGTCTGCACCGCCCACCAGAAACAGGAGGAAGTCGGCTCACCGTGTGCTGGCAGAGCTGGATGACGAGATGGAGGGTCCCGGGAGCCCTCCGCTACCCCTCCTGGAACCCAGGAAGAAATTCCGTGTAGAGAAAGCCCCACTGATGCCCGGTGGGTAAGTGGGCAGCCTCGACCTGGCCACCTTCGCAGCGCTCCCTGCCCGAGTCCTTTCTCAAGCCCTGGGCCCCGGGGAAGCCCTCTGCTTGGAGGGTGAGGGGCAGAGGCGGGTTGGAGGTTCGATAAGGAAAACATGGAGGGGGTTGGGTGGGGCGCTGGCAGGGGTGATTAAACACACCTGCTCTTTCCGACCGCCTGCCTTCAGGGGGCGCTAGCCCGGTCCTAGTGCTCTGGCAGGGATAGGTTTCCGGGCCCTCCCTCTGCATGTTTGCAGACCACCTCCAGGTTCCTTTGAGCGCCCTGGTCTGTCTAGGCTCTCCCGTGGTTATCCAGGGGGAAGGTCTAGGCCTCAGCAGGCTCCCAGTGACCCCGACTTTTGTGTCACTTCCTTCAGAAACCGCCGTGGGCGGCCTCGGAAGCACCCTGCAAATGCCCCCAGGGCTCCCCCTGCAGCCGCAGGTGGGGAGCCCTGTGCAGCTCCATGCTGCTGCCTGCCCCAAGAGGAGACCCTGGCCTGGGTTCAGTGTGATGGTTGTGACATCTGGTTCCACGTGGCCTGTGTCGGCTGCAGCATCCAGGCCGCCAGGGAGGCCGACTTCCGATGCCCGCGGTGCCGTGTGGGCATCCAGACCTGAGGCCCACCGCCAAGTCTGTGGCCATCCAGACCTGAGGCCCACCGCCAAGTCACCAGAAGACCACCAAGTGGCACCTCCAGACCACAGGTGGACGCAGCAGGGCACAAATGGGTCCTAAGAAACGCTTCCCTTCCTTCCTCTGGAGGGAGTGCAGGCAGAAGACCACCCAGAACTATGGATGCGGGTCCAGGGCCTGGAGCCCTTGGCGAAGGCCATGCAAGAGGTAGATTTCCTGCCAAAGATACTGCCGCCCCAGAAGCTGCCAGTGAGCTGGAAACTCTCAGCGGTAAAGCGGGGGGACCTGCCGTGGATGCCAGAGGCTGCTCGGAACA